TATGAATATTATTAAGTTTTATAACAAATAAACAGAATAAAATTCATAAATATGTAGCTCTTTGAGGTTTATTTAAAGGTAAACAAACCCGTCTATAAAGCTCTATGAGGTTTTCTTAGGGTAGACAAACCTTTCTACCTCCAAGAAACCTCAAAGAGCTTCAAACAAGCATTTATTCATTTATTTTTAACAAGTTTCTCGAACAAATTTTATTCAATTTTCCTTAAAATTAAGGATTGAAGAAAATTACAAACGTGTTTACATTGTAAACAAACATCATAAATTCATTATTTTCTATAGAACGAACGATATAAAACAAGGAAAAATCTTTAAAATAAAATAACAAAACCACAATAAATCTAACACAAAATGATTATTTTAACACCTTTAAAATTGCCAAAGTAATAAATAATTTAAGTATCGGTAGATAAGTTGCTTATATATTTATAAACTTAAGTAAAGACACAGCCAAAGTGGAATTTGTACGTATTTTCTATGGCAATTTTCTAAAGATTTATAACAATTTTAAATAATTTATTCATTTATTTTTATCCGAAGACAGATTTTTATTTATTATTCATAAGAAAACATTATCAACAATACTAAAATTTCTAAGGGGGAAAAAAAATGCATTTGTATTACCCAAATAATAGTCAAAAAATACAAATTAATTTAGTTAAACCAATTTAATATCATTAAAATTTATTAAATTTTTCTTCCTCCTCGTCAATAAAATACATTTAAATATATATATATATATATATTTANAGTAAATAAATAGAACAAAAATAAATAAGTTTAGAAAACAGAAATCAAATCATAAACGAAAAATAAAATCAAAAATTTATGGAATTTTCTTTGAATTTTTAACGCTGCAAACCTATTTCTTTCGATAAAATTTAAAGCTATTTTTAGTTTATAAACTTCATAAAATTCGAATTAAAATAGCAATTAAATTTGTTGATGTTTTTAACAATTTCTTTTATGTTTTATTCGCTCCTCCTCCTCCCCTAAGTCTCGTTAATTTATTCCAGAGATGATTAAATTTTAAAGGGGATAATAATTACTTTTTCTTTTTTAAGATTTATGTTTAAATACAATTATTATTATTATTATTATATTTATATAAGTTCTGCATGGAAAAGTATGGGTAGTGATATGGAGATAGGGAAAAACAAAATACACATCGGAAGATCATTGATTAAACTACTTTTTTTTATCGTTTCCTTTCTATTTGATGAACCAAATTACGATGATTTTTAAGTATAAAGTTATCGTAATTTAGCACATAAAGTAGAAAAGAAGCGATAAAGAAATAGTTTAATTAATGTTTTTCCAATGCATATTTCGACGTTTAACCAAGTTTTCTACGTGTTAAAAGCGTTATAAAAAGCTAATTTAACCTGTCTAATGGCCAATTGAGAATTGGCCAAGTGTTACCAGATGAACTAAATCATTAATAGCAAAGCAAAGATCGATCGATATTGCGGAATCGAGTCTGATTAGCCAACATGTACTGATAACACTTCCCTCCTCCTCATCCTCTTCTCCTTCTTCTTCTCCTCCTCCTCCTCCTTCTCCTGCTGATGCTCTTCTTGCTCTTCTCTTCTCTAGAAGCACTTAAATGTGAAAACCACAAGATAACTCTCCTCATTTATAATTAATGCTACTATATTAATAAAATGACAAACTGTTACAAGATTTCTGTGGCGAGAAAAATATATATTTATGTATATATATATATATATAAAGCCTTATAATTACGGTAGTTTGCTATAAAAATAAAAATTCTTAAGAAATTTATCATTACGTGAGACTGTAAAGCGTGAATTTCGATGTAATTTTAAATGAGTTTTCTACTTAAAAATATAATTTTTAACTAATTTTATTATGATTTATAAAGTGAAATTCTCATTTTTGTATCATCGAAATGTTTAATTTAACCAAGGATTTATTTATTTTATAATACATATATATTTATTATTATTATTACGTACGAAAAATATGAGTTTATAACGTGAACTTTGATATTTTCTAACGTATTTAAATGTCATATTTATTAAAATTAACATGAGGAATAGTTAATACGTGCCCGGGCATTTATCCCTACTGAAATTAATTTAAGAGTAATTTCAATATAACTTATTATTTATTAATTATATTCTTTAGCCAGATGATAATTATCTATAATGACGTTTAATTATATGGAGAATTTATTTATTTTACTTGATAAAAATTCCATCATTTAAGGTTTATATAAAATTGATAAATTTAACAAGTTAATTTAATTGTAAAACTAATTTTAATTAATTATAAAGTCGATTTGATAAATTTGATTTTTATTCAAATATAATCATCGATTTCGATTCAATTGTTCGAGAATTTTGTGTTGTGACTAATCTCGAATGAGTCTTCTTGGTTGACAAATTATTATTAAAATCTTTCTCTTCCTGCTTAATTTAAACAACGATTAAATTTAAGGAAATATTATTGAAATGCTAATATATTAGCATAAATTCTAGTTATACAGTAAACAATCGATGTATTGTGTACAAAGTGAAATCAAACACTATCAATATTTACTTAAAAACGTTTGAGTTTTCGAAAATATCTCCTTTTAAATGCGTTTTCATTTTATTTTAATTCTTTCTCGACATTTAAATATTTCTGTTACGTATCTGTTACGTTTAAAAACAAAAATACTACGATTTTTATTGTTACGAATGTGAAATCGATCGGTATTGTGTTACGTCACAATACTTTTCGCTTGTTTTCTTACGTATGTGAAATTGATGTTTAATGTTACGTCACAATACTTTTCGCTTGTTTTCTTACGTATGTGAAATTGATGTTTAATGTTACGTCACAATACTTTTCGCTTGTTTTCTTACGTATGTGAAATTGAGGTTTAATGTTACGTCACAATACTTTAAATTTTTTTTACTGTTACGAATATGAAATTGGTTAGTTTTACGTTACGTCATAATACATTTCGTTCGTTGTTTTATTACGTATTCAATTTTTTTTTTCTAATCTGTTTCGATAGAATAAGCTTTTTTGATAGTTTTTTCTTTTTTATAATTTAAAATTGAATTTTTAAATTTAAATAAAATTTTATTTTTTATATTTTTTAAGTGTTTTCTTTAATATTTTTTTTATAATGTAAATTTTATATTTTATGCCAAGTTTCGTTAATTAGAGAGATTAGAAGTGGAGTTTACTTAACTTCTATATCGTTTACTCAATCAACCATATTCGTCTTTTAAGTTTATTTTAATTTTTGTGACTGTTCACGCGAAATTCTTTGATTTATTAAGTGGAAGAGATGAAAATCTTCCGTGTGTTTCACGTATGAGATCATCGTTAACATTGTTTTATTCCGTCGCCGATTTTTTTACGTGTGTTTGTTTATAAGAAACAAATCTAATTTGTTCATTTTTGCGGATAAAATAGATTTAAATCTGAAATTTTACACCCTTTCACTGTTTAGTCGATTAATCTTGTTAAATTTTTTCTAAAAAATCTTTTCTCAATTTTTTGTGTTTATTTACGTTTATTTTTAAAAGTATTTTCATCAATTTTATTGGTGAAATTGATGAAAATGCTCTGTTTAAAACAATCAATTCCTCATACACGTGGAAAGTTTCATCAGTTTCATGTTTCATGCAAATTTATCAATTTCACACGTGAAATTGATAAAAATGTTTGAAATAAAAAGATATGATCAATTTCACTTACACAAAAAATTTCATCAATTTCACTTACACAAAAAATTTCATCAATTTCACGTATTTATGACGCAAAATTATCAATTTCACGTGTGTATGACGCAAATTTATCAATTTCACACGTGAAATTCATAAAAATGCTTGAAATAAAAGGATTTTATCAATTTCACGTGTATATGACGCAAAACTATCAATTTCACACGTGAAATTGATAATTTTGCGTCATACATACGTGAAATTGTTAATTTTGCGTCATACATACGTAAAATTGATAATTTTGCGTCATACACACGAGAAATTGATAATTTTGCGTCATACACACGTGAAATTGATAATTTTGCGTCATACACACGTGAAATTTATGAAATCCTTTTATTTCAATGCTCTATTTAAAACAATTTAATCAATTTCTCGTACACGTGAAAAATTTTATCAATTTCATCCGTAGATTTTGCAAAATTGTCAATTTAATTTGTAAATAAAGCAATTTTATTGTTAGTATTCATTTACACAAACGAAATTTCTCAATAATTTTATTAATATTTTTGTAAATTTTATATGAACTAATTCGTTTAATTTCACTCGTAAAATTATTTAAATTTCACATTAAAATATTATTGTTTACCTTTCGTTGCTCGGCGATTATATATATAGCCTAATATATACATTTATATCATAAATTATATATAATGTGAATATGTACATATAATTATATAAAATTATAAATAATTTTCATCGATTAATTTATTGACACGAAATTCGACGGATTAAATTTTCATAAGAAAATTTGATTTTACTTTCCAGTTCGAAATTTCATTTCTGGCCATTAAATATGTTAATTTTTTAAATTTCGCGTGAAATTTTGTTAGGTTTTTGCATGCGAAATGCCCGTGAAATTTTCTTAATTTTATATATTCTACGTGTTATATAAAATGTGAAATATCTTCTCGAATTTCGCAGGCATTTCACAGGCAAAAACCCAACAAAATTTCACGCGAAATTTAAAAAATGATTACATTTAACTTACCAAAAAAGAAATTTAAACTGGAAATAAAATGAAATTTTCATAAGAAAAAAAGAAATTCGAATAAAAATTAATAAATAAATCGATTTATTTGTTTATTTATGTGTTACGTATAAGAAGATAACAGCGAAAGAAGTAAATACTATAGAAAAATAACCGGATTAATTAAAATTATATATATTATATAAAAGAAAGTAGAAAAGTTGCAGAAGAGTTAAAGGGGGGAGAAGGGGAACGGGAGAAAGAAAAAGTCGTTTAATTATTGGTTAAGACAGTTCACATTTTAATAAAGGAGTCCGTAAAGCGGGTTAATATTCGCTTCCTATCAGAAAGATAGCTTCCACGGAACATGCGCAGAACGGGGTAGGTCCTGTGCCCGTCTTTCTTTCTTCAGTCTACACTTGACCCTGTGGTCAATGATGTGAGCTAGTCATGTCGTTATTCCTGGCAAGTCGAAGTCCGTACAGCCACCTGGAAGACGAGGACGACGTTGTACGTCAGGTGGTTAACAACAGAAGAGTCAAATGGCACCAACGTCTGCGATTAGCCACGGGGATATTCGCTGCCATCCTGGCAGGAACCGTCGTTCTTGTTGTTGGTATCATCTCATTGCCGACACTGTTACAGAGGTTTTCCTCCGGAAAATCGAAATCCGACCGTATAGAAATCGTCTTTGCCACAACTAACTGTGGCCTGTTAGTTGGAGAAGTGGAAGAAGGCTCTTACGTCTTTAAGGTCAGTACAATACTTCTTTCATCTTCCGATACCACGCGCGAAAAATTCGTAATTAAAGCATCCCTCTTCCTTCTCCTCCTCCTCCTCCTCTTCCTCATCCTCTTTTAAAGTTTAAAAATCTTTTAAAAAGTTCTATAATCTAATTATCAATTATCTTCATTACTATTTCTTTCTATTGTTCTTCCGTGTTTTACGCGTAAATTCCGCTGTAAAATCTACGCGAATCTTCTTATACGCGTATTATTTTTTTAAATATAATTAATCGTTTCGCTTAAATTTAATAAAAAGGAAAAACAAATTAACGTTACGAACGAAGCGGATAGACACACCGACCGACGTAAACTTTCTTCTTTAAGTCACGTTACAAAATTAGTTTCTTTTTTTTTTAGTAATTTATTAGGAATTTAAGTCTTTCTTGTCGTCATTTAGTCGCGTGTGAAATAATTCATGTTGTTCGTCATTCGATTAACTTCTCTAAAATAGCGAGTTACGATGTTATAAAGTTTCGTATAGTAGTCCTTTAGGAGTAACGTAGTCCAAACGTAAATCTCATAATCAATAAATATTATTATCCTGTGTAATGATCAAATTCGTGTATGGTCAACTAACCGTTTCAATGGCTCGCAGTTTTACTTGCTTACTACAAGAGTAACAACAATATACACTTATAAAAATATACGTTTATTAATACATAATTAAAGCGTAACGCAAAAAATACTTAATTAAAATTTTTATTTATATAATATATATTAAAGTTATTTCCTATATTTAAATTTAAATATAAGCTACAAACAATTCCCCCCTCCTCCTGTTTTTTAATCATAAAATGGATGATATAATTCGCCAGATAAATTGCTTATGTGACTAAAAAAAAAATGTCGTCCATTTCGCGAAATTTTATTAAATAAATCGGTTTTTTTTTATTTCGCGTAAACAGCTGATGTAATTGATTAAATAATAAATGTATATTTCACACACACACTTCATTGTTGAAAGTGAGTGGTGAAAAAAGTTGTTTATTTCGTGAAACAGCTGATGAAATTTACAAAATAAATTTGTCTGTTTCATTTAATTGTTAGAATAAATTACAAGTAACTTGATGTTTCTTTCACCAAACAGTTAATGAAATTGATTGTTTATTTCATTTTATTTTTATAATGAAATGAGCAACATTGTCGCATTTCATAGAACAATATTGTTCCATTTCATAGAACAATATTGTCGCATTTCATAGNATTTATTTATTTATTTTATTTAAAATGTATAATCTGGATCTCAAATTATTAGTGTCTTTGTCCCTGTACATTACACTTTTCCAGAAAACAGTAGAGTCGTGCAGGTCCTCTGTGTTATTTTGTTCTAGGGGGAAAATTTTGAATTGAAATCACGTGGCTTCCGGTCTAGAACGGAAGTTACTATATAGTTAATCGGGTCCTCCACCCCCTAAGCTATTCACGTCCGGTCTCGATTTTAGTTTATCTAACACCGTTCTCGAGAATAAGGGAGGACATACAATAAAGGGGTATTGAAATGTATTGTTACCTGTTTTATATGAAATGATTTGGGGTAGTTTATTGTTAAAGATATTGAAGAGGTTTGTTAGAAGATCTATTAAGTTATTTTGAACTTTGAATGGATAGAAAGTATTGTAAAATATTGTTATATATACTTCTACTATTATATATTCGATACTTCGGCGTGATTTAAAACGAACGAGAAGATTCATCTCCATTATCATATCCATTATCTCATCCGAAAGTTGTGTAATTTGAAAGTGGTTATTTGGATGAAGGGAGCCGGTTAGAAGGAACAATTATCTTAAAGTTTAGGGTGAAGAGATGCAAAGAAACTGTGATGATAAGGTTGGAGGAGAGGCGAACGAGATAATAATCTGAATTAAATTAAACATCTTTAATGGAGTGATCTTTTTAACAGGATGATAATTTTAATGAGAGATCCATTGATGAAGGTTAATTCGGTCCAGATGATAATTACACTAAATCCCACTTGTCACTAGACGATTATTCCGGCGAGAAGATCATCTGGACGAGACAATAACTGCATAAAGTCAAGTTTTGTACGATGATTATCCGGATAAGGGGGGGTTAATTAAACGAGACGATGATGATAATGTAACCTGTTTCAGATAAAAAATATAAAGTAGATAAAGGAGTTAACGATAAAGTTTAATCAAGTAGAAATTACGTTTTGTTTAAGATGATAATCGGGATGCGACGTGATGATAGATGGAGAGAGCCTAATAAGCAAAGAAGATAATAGTTGGAAGCAAATGACAATACAGAGAAGATAATACATAATCTGGATGCAGCGATAGTCACAAGAGAGCAATAATATGGATAAAACTATAATATGATGGAAGCGATATTTCTGTCAAGCAGATTATATGTGAGGATAATAGTTTTTGATTAGTTGTTATTCCGGACAGGATGATAATATAGACGAGACGACGTTTTAGACGAGATAATAATCTAGAAGAACGATCATCTAAACGAAATTACAGTCTATACGAGATGATTATCCGATATTATGGATAAGATGATAGCTAAATCAAGTAATGGTTAGATTCGATTTTATGGAAGAGGGGGATCGTTCTCCACTTTTGAAATTATTTTGATCCTTAAAGGATTTTTATTTCCTTCTTATTTCCTTGAAATATTATCTGTAGCACGCTTCTAACGTAGAAAAAAATATATATATATATGAAAAGTTATAAATAAATAAATTAAAGGGTTTCTCGCTTTTATTTATTATTATTATTTTTTTATGTATTTTTTGAGGATGATGAGGACGTTGTTTCTCCTCCTCTTCTTTTTTTATGATGAAGTGTGTAAGAGGTTAGAGGCATTAAATATCAAAATTTCCTTTGGTAATTTCGTTATTACCCTTAAAAAAAAAATGGTTAGTAAATTGTAAGATCAATGTATTCGTGACTGTTTTATTGTGTTTAATGGTTTTTTTTTTCTTTACCCGGTATTTAAACTGGGAAATATTGTTATACACCTACTCTCTTTTATATTCAATACTTTGGTGCGGTTTAAGATGAACGAGACGGTTATTATAATCATCGCCTCTTATAAAGGTGTGTAATTTGATGAGGTTATTATTTAAATAAAGGGTTCGGTTGGAAGGAAATTATCTCGAGATTTCAAGAGAAGGATGCGAGTGAAGTATTGAAAAGTATTCTTACACTTCTAGTGTTTTACGTATTCATCGTCTCGTTTAAAGGTGTGTAATTTGATGAGATTATCACTTAAATAAATAAATAACCAATAAAAATTATTGTGACATAGTCACAATGCCGACGGGGGTGCAATTTTTAATCACGTGTTTTTTATTTATTTATTTATTTTATTTAAAATGTATAATCTGGATCTCAAATTATTAGTGTCTTTGTCCCTGTACATTACACTTTTCCAGAAAACAGTAGAGTCGTGCAGGTCCTCTGTGTTATTTTGTTCTAGGGGGAAAATTTTGAATTGAAATCACGTGGCTTCCGGTCTAGAACGGAAGTTACTATATAGTTAATCGGGTCCTCCACCCCCTAAGCTATTCACGTCCGGTCTCGATTTTAGTTTATCTAACACCGTTCTCGAGAGTAAGGGAGGACATACAATAAAGGGGTATTGAAATGTATTGTTACCTGTTTTATATGAAATGATTTGGGGTAGTTTATTGTTAAAGATATTGAAGAGGTTTGTTAGAAGATCTATTAAGTTATTTTGAACTTTGAATGGATAGAAAGTATTGTAAAATATTGTTATATATACTTCTACTATTATATATTCGATACTTCGGCGTGATTTAAAACGAACGAGAAGATTCATCTCCATTATCATATCCATTATCTCATCCGAAAGTTGTGTAATTTGAAAGTGGTTATTTGGATGAAGGGAGCCGGTTAGAAGGAACAATTATCTTAAAGTTTAGGGTGAAGAGATGCAAAGAAACTGTGATGATAAGGTTGGAGGAGAGGCGAACGAGATAATAATCTGAATTAAATTAAACATCTTTAATGGAGTGATCTTTTTAACAGGATGATAATTTTAATGAGAGATCCATTGATGAAGGTTAATTCGGTCCAGATGATAATTACACTAAATCCCACTTGTCACTAGACGATTATTCCGGCGAGAAGATCATCTGGACGAGACAATAACTGCATAAAATCAAGTTTTGTACGATGATTATCCGGATAAGGGGGGTGGGTTAATTAAACGAGACGATGATGATAATGTAACCTGTTTCAGATAAAAAATATAAAGTAGATAAAGGAGTTAACGATAAAGTTTAATCAAGTAGAAATTACGTTTTGTTTAAGATGATAATCGGGATGCGACGTGATGATAGATGGAGAGAGCCTAATAAGCAAAGAAGATAATAGTTGGAAGCAAATGACAATACAGAGAAGATAATACATAATCTGGATGCAGCGATAGTCACAAGAGAGCAATAATATGGATAAAACTATAATATGATGGAAGCGATATTTCTGTCAAGCAGATTATATGTGAGGATAATAGTTTTTGATTAGTTGTTATTCCGGACAGGATGATAATATAGACGAGACGACGTTTTAGACGAGATAATAATCTAGAAGAACGATCATCTAAACGAAATTACAGTCTATACGAGATGATTATCCGATATTATGGATAAGATGATAGCTAAATCAAGTAATGGTTAGATTCGATTTTATGGAAGAGGGGGATCGTTCTCCACTTTTGAAATTATTTTGATCCTTAAAGGATTTTTATTTCCTTCTTATTTCCTTGAAATATTATCTGTAGCACGCTTCTAACGTAGAAAAAAATATATATAAAGTGTTTTCCTCGCTGATTTCCTATCTAATATATAACATGGAATAACATTTTATATTGATTTATCACGAAAATTCTAACCATTAGTTGCATGATCGAGCGCAAGAGTTGGATAACCACAAATTATCGATACGTTTTGGCAATTTCCCTCCCGGCCTTTTG